AACAGCAGTCTAAATACACATTTTTAGGGCAATCGTATACAACACAATATACAGCGTTTAAATAGCAGATGCATTCACAATGCATGAAATGACCTAACGATTTTGGCGCCATGCATTTTAATCATATTATATCAAAAATCGACGCGCGAAATATTCAAAAATTTGTTATATATATATATATATATTCTATAGGAATCAGATAGTTTGTATTGAGAGAAAGTAACGTACGATATCTGTTTCAAACAGTAAGTACATATATGTATATGTACTATATATCCATATATAGGATGTCAAAACCTGCAATGAATATCATTTATTCACATGATTAGGGTGAATGCACAGTTCAAGGTTGCATTAAAAAATAATACGTATGCATATTGACAACAGTGGATATAAATAGCATCTACAAAAACATAAGTGAAGACGTGAGAGTACTCATCAGCAGCACCAGGTCTCATCTATCGACAGCGATTTTTGTATAATTTGCAATCAGTTGCTAATTTTTTCTAAAATGTGATAACCTTTAACCTGTTTTTCTTTTCTCTTCTCCTACCATAAGCAATAAAAACTACCCATAGTGTGAATACGAATTTGCATTACTTAACAGCATTCGCTGTGTGAAACATGGACATTCTCTGTATGCAAGAGGACGCTTTGTCTAAACCTTTTTCCGGATCATTTATTTCCATCGCATTTTTTACCAGCCAATCTCATAAAGGTAAAATATACACAGCAATCAAAGCATTTCACGAAAAAATCAATACCAGTATATAAATCAACAACAGAAAATCAATCACTGTACAAGTTAGTTAACAGTGGTATGAATTCTAAAACAAAAGATGAATTCATTTCTAAAAGTAAGTAAGTCATCGCATAGTTAATCTTGGTATCAGATGCCCACAAACCAACAATAAATTTATTTATTGGAGATATTTAAAACACATGACTAAACATCCATTCACAAAGAGCTAATTATTTATCCCATTACTGCTGCGTACAGCTGATCAAAATGGAATTGCCTACTTCGAATCAACAAGTTCCAGCACACCTTGCCTGATGAGCATCTCACAATCTGATACTGGCAGGGAATGCTACAAATACATTAGATGGAATCTGATACTTTAACTACTTCTTGCTGATTTGTTGAGGGCAAATTATAAAGCTAATATTTTAACTGCATGAAAGCGTAAAAAATAACTCAAACTTCTATCGCATAAACAAGGAAGTGTAGTATGAGTAAGAGTTGAATATATTTGGTCATAACATAAATGTGATATATGATTAAAGCACATTCTTTTCTGTGCACTTCCATTAAACATTAGTCAAACAAAAAAAGTCTCCGAAACTAAAAAAAGTAAGAATATTCTATTCCCCACTAACCAAAGCATTTTCGGTAAGGGTAACAGTTGTTCCATCACTTAACTCATATGAGCCAATATTTTGCTTTGCTCGAACCTAAAATTCACTAGTTAGCTAGCTATTAAAGGAAAACTGATTTACTTAATATCATAACAAGCTTATCATTAATTTAAACTGATTAGATTAGTACAAATGTGGAGAACAAACTGTAACGATTACCCTATGATATTGACTGGAATATATGCATTTTCAAAAACGGTATATTTTGTACGAATCAGAAAAAAGTGCTATTATAGTAATTAACCGAAAAAATACAGTAATACATGTATGAAAGCATTTTATCAATCTTTATCATACAAAAAAGCTATAATGACCTTGACAAATAAATTCTGAGATGGCTTCATATTTAATAATAAATTCACTCCATTATCACCCATTGAAACTTGAAAATCGGCAAGCAGTGTGTTATATTCTTGTAGCCATTTTAATTCTGTCTCGCATAAATTTTGCTGCAAAATTAATCAATAAGAGATTGTCCAGAAGAACGTAAGAAATTATTGACTTGGAAGTTCATAAAATTGATTGAAAAAAATATAAAACCTTACCAAAACACTGCTTTATAATTTCTAGTAATAAATAAGAAAAAATGATGATTTGGTTATATTTATGCACCAAGTTTTTTATGCGGAAAAAAAAATGCAAAAAATATTTTAAAGAAATAACATTAATAATAATATATTTTTTTGATTTAACATACCAGGAACTAAACCAAATACTTTCTGCCAAAAAACCGCAAATATAAAAAATTCATATTCATAATTTTTGCTCAAAAATGTTTTCCAAAATATTTTTTTCCAAAAAAAATTTTGCACAGTTCAACAAATACCTTGTCAACTGAATCTAAATTGGGAAATTTATACTTTCTACTAATTATTAGGCATGATTCTATAAAATAAAAAAGACAATACTAAAATTGTTAAAAGACTATAAAAACTGCCACTTAAATGATTATGCTAATGATAATGATTATTTAGATCAAAAACTTGAAATTAAAATTATGCAAATATGCTACAGTAATTGCAAATAACAGTGACAACAAAATAATTATTATTATTACAAATATTATAATAATAATTACTATTTTGTTACTATTATTAAGCATTATTTCGGTGATTAATAACTGAACAAAACAAAGTGAAGAACACCAAGAGCTAAACCAGATACTTTCTACCTAAAAATAGTGAATATAAAAAAGCACAAATGAATAAACTATCCCACTAACAGTAATTACATAAATATAACAAATTTTTTCACCATCCTCAGTTTAAACTATTAAAAACTGCAAGCTTCAATTGTAACAAAGATTAATCTAGCATCGACTTAAACATTTAACATGAGATAAATCCAGGGTAAAGTACACGTATTAAGAAAATAAAAGTAAAGAGAGGGCAATAGTAATACATAATTATTAAGCAAAAAAACTTGAACACAAAAGCGAACCGTAATACTTTCTGGCACATGTCCACCATGCTTCCATCGTAGATGTCTAATTCGCCACATACGTTCATGCAAATAAGTACAACAACAACGTTTTAAGTAGTCAATACAGCTTTGTCTTCCATGTACTGACACTGCTAATTCACGTCTTTCGATTTTATCTGATACTGAACTTGATTTTAAGATCATTCTGAAATGCCATAAACATATTAGCGAATTGAGTGAGAAAAAAATATCAAATGAGACATTAATGTAGAGTATTAAATAATAAAATAATATTAATAATTATCAATATATCCAAGGTTTATAAGAATTGCTGAATTACTCTTTCATGTTTCAGAAACCATTCTTAAGTTCATTTTTTGTTCAAAAATACATATAAAATTCATGATTTACTTGAGATAATGCAATGAAAATCAAATTTTCCATCAATAATTATTGAACAAAACTACTTACAAGTCATCAATATTTTGCCTGTACAATTTATTAATATTTGCAATGCATTTTTTCATCGCATCTGCCTAAAATACAATGTGTGCATCAATTTATGTATTGATTTAATATTTTGAACAAAAAAAATTATGTCTTGAATTTTCGGGTTTATGGTAACAAATTTATAATTTTGGTTTTCAAAATAATTCTAACATTGTAAGCAGGAATGGAATCTGATCCTGATGAATTTAGCGAAGTAATTAGTGCTATAGCATCGTCAATTACTGACTCCACGTTACGATTCATATTCTGTTACTGTTAGTACAATTAGAAGAAGTTTTAAGTGAAATGTTAGCCACAGTTTTGTACAATTCAAGTAGCTGAAAAATATAAATTTTTTTTTAGTAATTATAAAAGTTTTCATATTTTGAAATACGAAATTTTAAAATGAAAAAGCATGAAAAACGACGAAATGAATGAAGTATGATGTATCGCGCGATTGAAACGACTGATAATTTTCGTAAAAAATTTCTGCTCTTCTCTTTTGTCTGTTTGATCAATTTGAAATTATTTTTAATTTAAAAAATTTATAAAAGAGAAGAAAAAAAAGGGGTTGTATTTCATATATTCCCCAAGACCTAATATTAATTAAAAAATTGCCTAAAAATAAGCATGTCAAATTTTTGCACTACTAAAAGAACAAACAACGCATTCTCTGTGCATTTTTTTAACACGATAATTTGCTACTAAAAACATATCGAATTAATTTAATATCTAAAAATTCGATATTAAATATAAATAAATGACCGAAATAAATTCATCTTCAAGCACAGAAAATTAACTTATAAACATAAAATGAACAAAATCACAATTTATCATTAATTTCCTTAAAAATAAACAAATATAGAAGATAGCTGAAAGATAATATATGATAGAGCAATAAAATGCCGTTTTATGTCTTGTGTATAAACAAGCTGCTCTATATTATATTTTATTATCATTCTTTTTTCATAATATTTTCGTACAATTACTGTTTTCAATATTATCAGCATTTATGATTATTTCACAGTATCATTACTGCCATTGTTATAAATACAGATATCAATATTATCAATAATATTGTGATTAATACTGTAATTTTGTAATTATCAATGAATTACCACCATCATTGCAGTCATTAATATTACTACCATCTTTGATATGATTATTAATTGCAGTTATACTTGCGTGCTCTAAGTGTAAATGGTACGAAATGAATGAAGTAAATATTTCGATGATTGCTGTCTACCAAGCAAAACTATAGATAATATGTTAAATTATCCCTCCTACTTGTGCTAATAAATCAGAGCACACGGACTACTGATTAAATAAAAATATTTCCCACCAAATTTGAATAAAACTTGCAATGAGTAGTGACAGAGAGAAATGTGTCATCATCATCCATCTATCTAAATTTATCCATTGATTCACATAACTGATCAATCCTAAGTAAAAAACCGGTAGCAACAGTTGAATTGAAGAAAAGATAAAAACTCATAAATAAAAATGAAATTATACATACATACTTCTTCTGGGTGATGGATTACTTTTTCAACTAGAAAACTAATTCAAATCAATAATTTCTCATTTGAAAAACGCGACACATTTTTTAGCAAAATAAGAAAAAAAGAGCGAATAAACTGCGACTCAAAGATTAATCTAAATAAACGCTTACATCACACAAACTTAGAACAAAATGCTTTTGCAATTATTTTTCGTAACTGCAATAAAGAATATCATTTTTATATCACAATTAAATAATTGTGATATAAAAATCAATTAAACAAGTGAAAATATTATTAGAAAAAACCATATTCAATAATAATAGTACAAAGTAAAAAATCTGAAGATGAAGACTACCAGCACAGGAAGGTACCGAATTATTTTAGTACCATCAATTATATAATTAAGTATCAAAAACAAAATAAACCGAGGTATACAATTAAATAATAACGTAATATAAATCTGGAAATGATATGAAATATAAAACGAAAAATTTTTTAAATGATTTATTAACATTATTCTTAATTTTTATCCCACATCTGCCAATAATACAACAATACTATTCGATTACAAGAATAGACATTTACTTTTCTTTAATATTAATTTTCAAAAATTTCACCACATAAAGAATTTATATTAAATATTATAAGAATCTGACAAAAATAGCAAAACTTGTAAAATTTTTTAAACAATGTTGATTTAAATAGAAGCAATGATACCTGCATCGAACTGATTTATACCTGTACTCTCCATACTGATATCAAGTTCCTAACAATAACCAAATTTGTCATTGATACTGACTGATTTTCACTGCAGCTTTACCTCAAAGTTGTCTGTAGTTACCTCATAAATAAGAAATTCCTACACATTAATCTGTCTGAGAACATCCTGCAATTCAATGTCGTTAACAAATAACTTTTTGAAATTAACATTAAAAACCACTGATTGAGTGATTGGATAATTACATTGCTAAATTACATGTTGATTAAATAATAATAATAATACATAATGAGGCTTAAAAATATATTAATAACCAATAAACAATTATATAATTAAATAACTAATTAGATAAACAATAAACAACCAAACATTAACTATAATCATTACTTAATTAAATATAATTTGA